GAGTGGTGCTTAGTGGTAGTGTTGAATACGGTTTGGGGGCAGAGGTTGCATGCGGTCCTGAACCGATTTTGCGGTTGCGGCCGGTGACCAGAGAGAGAGAGGGTCTGGGTTAAATAGATTGCACAGTTAGGCATAGGGCCTGGTTTCTAGCAACACTTACTGTCAGCATAGCAGCATGCTCGGCAGCCGAATAGTATGCATTTCGTGCAAAGTATGCACCCGAAGGCACAGGGATGCCGGCGAGCGTGGTGTCGTCATGGATTTCCGAGAGACGGCTGCATGTGTACAGGAAGGTGAATCAAGGTCATGGTCATGTCAACGAGGGGTTTGAACACACAACTGCGCACATATTTTCCCAATATGGGCCCGAACACTCACTCGTCCAGTTCGAACGCGTTGTTCTCATCTCCCTTCAGAACATGCACCAATCTCGCGAGCACCCCTCCATAGAGAACGTGTAAGAGGTCTGGCATTTGTGCCTGGTAGGTGTTACCCCAATCTGTGTTAGCATTGTGGAACTTCCACAAAAACGTCTGCACGTGGGGATAACACGACACAAAGTGGCTGGGAATTTGTTAAATCAACCCCTGATCCTAAGAGTGGGTACGTGTAATAAAATGAGGGCTATCCCTGAGGATCGGGTGTGTGTGGGTGTGGGTGGGTCTGACCCACAACCCAGTTTGGAGTGTGAGGGTGTGGGTCTGACCCACACTCCAGTTTGGAGTGCGTGGGTGTGGTTCTGACCCACAACCCAGTTTGGAGTGTGAGGGTGTGGGTCTGACCCACACCCCAGTTTGGAGTGCGTGGGTGTCGGTCTGACCCACAACCCAGTTTGGAGTGTGTGGGTGTCGGTCTGACCCACAACCCAGTTTGGAGTGTGAGGGTGTGGTTCTGACCCACAACCCAGTTTGGAGTGTGAGGGTGTGGTTCTGACCCACACCCCAGTTTGGAGTGCGTGGGTGTGGTTCTGACCCACACCCCAGTTTGGAGTGTGTGGGTGTGGTTCTGACCCACACCCCAGTTTGGAGTGTGAGGGTGTGGGTCTGACGCACAACCCAGTTTGGAGTGTGAGGGTGTGGGTCTGACCCACACCCCAGTTTGGAGTGCGTGGGTGTGGTTCTGACCCACAACCCAGTTTGGAGTGTGAGGGTGTGGGTCTGACCCACACCCCAGTTTGGAGTGTGTGGGTGTGGTTCTGACCCACAACCCAGTTTGGAGTGTGAGGGTGTGGGTCTGACCCACAACCCAGTTTGGAGTGTGTGGGTGTGGTTCTGACCCACACCCCAGTTTGGAGTGTGTGGGTGTGGTTCTGACCCACACCCCAGTTTGGAGTGTGTGGGTGTGGTTCTGACCCACACCCCAGTTTGGAGTGTGTGGGTGTGGTTCTGACCCACACCCCAGTTTGGAGTGTGTGGGTGTGGTTCTGACCCACACCCCAGTTTGGAGTGTGAGGGTGTGGGTCTGACCCACACCCCAGTTTGGAGTGTGTGGGTGTGGGTCTGACCCACAACCCAGTTTGGAGTGTGTGGGTGTGGTTCTGACCCACACACCTCACTTAGGGCAGACCACTCTGTCCATTGCTCGTCAATGCCCTCATCACTCTGCGCACACCCCCCTGACGTGCCGACCAGGCATGACAGGAGCGGTCAACCCCAACTTACATCAATGGGATGCGTCGAGTACTTCTTGCAATCTGCCGCGCTACGAACGATCTGCCGCTGCAAGTCGACCCGCCGTCGGTCGTTCAAACCGTCCTTGATCACTAACAGGTAGTCTTTCTCCACGTAGCATACAGAACAGGGCATGTCCGTGCCCAGTTGCAAGGTGCAGCTGACTTTGCATATTTCGGGATAATCCCCTACGTATGCAAACAGCATGAAGTATGCTGAATGAACCGCTCCAAGTGGATCTGTGAGCGGGGTGCCCCTGAATCCAAGGCATGGCACAGAGGAGCTTAAAGTAGTGTTCCGGATATTGGAAGACAGGGGATTCAGATATAACGCATCCTGGAAAGTATGTCGAAGATACACTCACTGCATACACACTCTACTGCAACAACATTCCCCGTGAAAATCACACATTCCCCTTTCTTACATGTACCACGGTGATGCTTGGAACACCTCGTTTAGTACAACGTGCATGGCCTTTTGGAACAACTGTACTTTTTGTGCACTAGTCATCTTTATATCAGGCATCGGAAGCAGAGCAATTAACACCCTGCCGGTGTTACGCCACCGAAGGTGATACGGGATGTTGGCGACGGAGAGATAGAAAGGCCAGACTCTGATCCGCCCGTGACCACTCAGCACTGTGACGTCTGACGCTAGGATGATGGGGCAGATTACCTCCCCGTTCTTCAAAAAACTCTGTTTGGGGGGAGGAAGCCAGCACATAATGTAAGCCCTCGTGCCTTGTGACTCGTCGGACACAGCAATGGTTAGGCATGGAGATAGACTATGCGTGAGAGGAGTGTGGGTCCCTTGCGCGTCAGCCAAGGGGAGAGTGTGCGGGTCCCTGCCTGGCTCACACACCATTCCGAATGCAAGCAGCAACCAGACAAGGACCCCTGCGCCACATGAGAGGAGCACGGGTCCCATGCTCATCATCAGGGGAGAGTGTGCGGGTCCTTGCCTGGCTCACAAACCATTCCGAATGCAAGCAGCAACCAGACAAGGACCCCTGCGCCACATGAGAGGAGCATGGGTCCCATGCTCCTCATCAGGGGAGAGTGTGCGGGTCCCTGCCTGGCTCACAAACCATTCCGAATGCAAACAGCAACCAGACAAGGACCCCTGCGCCACATGAGAGGAGCATGGGTCCAATGCTCCTCATCAGGGGAGAGTGTGCGGGTCACTGCCTGGCTCACACTCCCTGAATGCAATGGAACCCTTGCATTGAATCAAAGGCTGAGGGTAGGGGGGGGAAGAAAATATGATATGCCGTCATCAGCATGGGTCCGCCCCCGGGGGCCCCGCGTGAGAGCATGTGCCCCATTCACATCCACCCTCACCAATGGGCCCGTGTGTGACGAACCAGCGCCATGCGCCACATAGTCCCTGTTTTGGGACTTGTGTACTTGTGGCCCGCATCGACTTCCACTCCATCCTCGGGACGGAGCACGAATCCTGGAGCGTTATCCAGATGCCTCCATAGCTCCTTTAAAGCCTGCAGCGGACAAGCACAAGACCACGTTGTTAGACACATCGTACATATGATCGGATTTGGGGTCAGCGGCGTGTGTGGAACAGGGCGGAGAGTGTGCTTAGAAAAGGGCATTACCTCGATGATGCTCGTGTGCTGTACCACGAACATCTTATCCCAACCCTCCACTGAAATGTGAGAGTGGGTGTATGCCCGCTGACCCAGTAACAGCGTCATCCCGTAGCGCTCAAGTGCTCGCTTAGATCGCATGCGCCGGAGCGCGGAGAGCATGAACCCGTGGGAGTTCAGAATCTTTAGAAGGAGGGCAGTGTCCTTGGCAGATAGGCCACGACCGTTGTTCCCGCTCATCACGAACCTCCAAATGGCGTACATCGTGTCAAACGGTGCGCCGTTTCGGGCTTGAGCGCGCGAAGGATCTAACCCATCGGCGGAGTGTGCACTGTCGCTGTCAGAACGCACCCCATCTTGAGCGGACTCCGTGGCACGAGAGGACCCAGCTGCGGCGCTGTGTGGCCCTGGTCCATCAGCCTGGTCAGGGCTTGCTGCTGGAGCGGGCTCTGGTCGCACTGTTTGGGTGTTATCGTGTGATGAACTAGACGACACGGCTTGAGTGGCTACGGTTCTCAAAGGTTCGTAGTAGCGTCCGAAGGATAGGCCATTGTCAACGCTAAGACGTCGTGCCTCCACACAAGGAGCCCATGTGTTCATGTGCGCGTCCCGAAGAGACGCGTCGGAAAAGCAGTTGCTGCAAAACTCGCAACTCCAGCCATGGTCTTGCATAGTATACATATTCGGGTGAAATAACCGTGGTTAAAAGCATAGATATCAAGGATCTTAGGAAGGTGATAGCAGCGATGAAAAGGGACCATCACATTGCGGATAAGATCCAGTCCCGGAGAGTAATTAGGAGCAATGGTCTCCTAGGCGTCCAGTGGCTGAATACGATGTATTCAGAGCGTCTAGAGTAAGTAGCGTAGGGCGCACAGGTCGTGGCCGGCGAGTCCACGTACTTAGAGCGTCTCGTTATCTCCACACAGTGTGTAGAATCTACTGAGCGTCGCCAGCGAGTATGAATCCATTGGAGTTTTACACCTGTCCGTGATTTCGTCGCGATTGCCCGTCTGGCCGCGATATACTCTGAGAATACGGGCTCTTGCAGTGCTTGACAAGTGATTCGATAGGTCGCCATCCCTAGGTGACGAATATCCTATTGCTAGATAACGCATGGTGCGGGTTCTGTCGAGTCGCCCTCGATCATTGTGGATCTTTCTGCGTTTGAACTTTTAGAGTGACTTGAGGACTTCGAGAACTCACACAAACTATGTTTCTGTCCCCCATAATCCGTCCCCGGTAGTAACAGGCGTAGTAATATGTTGATCTTTGCTGAGTCGTAAGTTCGTGGTGCAGACGAGAGTAGTTTACAACTCCAAAACGCTGGCATTTTGATGGTGCATTGCGAGAACGCCCTTGCAATGAGCCGCGATGGCTAAGACCTTTGTGACACGTGAGCACACCGGATCGGGTAAGCCAGTGTCGCAGCGACACATGTGCGTGCTTCTATAGAAATTGACATCGTGGCAACAATCCCTCTGCTGTAGGTCCAACCTGAGGTCACTCAAGGACAACCTGCTACGAAAACACATCAATGCTATGCGACTCGAGGCATTGATGTGTTGACATTGGCGCCTCGACCACAATCTTTGCCTCCCACCCAACTCGACATTACCCTGCTTGTATTTCCAGACGCTCATAAGCCATAACATTTCCAAGTGTCTCCCAGCCTTTTCAGTATCCATTGTTACGCCCAAGAACTAAGACTCTCTAGTCGTTCCTGCCTCATGGCACGGCCGGTTACATACGCCGGGAGATGTACCGTTGAGACTCTTATGTTGCGCAAGCCTGTAGTCTGCACCGCCGGCCTGCAGAGTGCTTACATTGCGTCCCTGAAACGAGAGGAGAAACCGACTCCAAACGGCCTCTTTGAGAATATCAGGCATCTCGCGTTTAAGGCGCACGGCAGTGCTTGGTTGAACCGGGAGAAGGCTATGTCAGTGTACCGTATGAGGCGTAAATTGGATGAGTTTGCTGTATTACCATGGTTTGATTCGATGCTGATTAATGCATGCTTCTTTGACGGAAACGACAGCGCTGCGTTTCAGCAGGATTGCGGCCGTTTCCTGCTGTCCATCGAGGACCACAAGGAGATCAACACCCTGGCTACCGGCTGGGAGGATCTTAAGAGTCCCGAAATCAAACTCGATTACCGCGTGTGGCTCATGGGTTTCGCCCATACGTGGGGTTTTGTGGTGAGCGCATGCATTCAACACATTGTGGTGAGCGCATGCATTCAACACATTGTGGTGAGCGCATGCATTCAACACATTGTGGTGAGCGCATGCATTCAACACACATGGGACCGTGCATTGTCGACAGCATCTTCAGCTCACTGATGATTCTCCTTGCTTTCTCCATCTTTCAGGTTGAGGGCAGCCCAGACAACGACCTCTATGCGACGGACATCACGGCACTGCACGGGAAAGATGGCAAGCCGCTCCCCGAAGCGTTGCCTGTTTCGGATCGTCGGGGCTGGGTTGGAAATGACGCCGACGGTATTACCGTAGGCCTCCTCGCACGTGCTCTCGGCTTGCGATCCGCCTGGGAGAAGCCCACGCCCGTGCAAGGACCTGAGTACCGTAAGGTTGACGCTAACGGAAGGACTTGGCGAGGAGAATTCAGCATGCCGAGCACTGCAGACATCCCCACCCTCCCCTGCCTTGTCAGGCAGGGCGTCACCCCAAAAGGGTATTACGACTGGGGTTTTCCCGGCGAGAAGGACCTACCGGAAGCCTCAACCTCCAAGAAGCAGCGTATTGCTGAAGGCGCCATGATTGCAGGGGGGCAGGTGGATGATGAGCAGGCGCTGTGCGCGGATGATGAGAAGGAACCGAACGGGGGGCAGTAGAACATATTTTGTATGCTTTATCGATCATCAACTGCTATGGTCTGCGATGCAATTGTAGTTGGTTACGCTGGGGGGGGTCGTGCAACTCTTCTTGTATTCTGTCCATAAGGAACCTCCCCGTAGTATCTCAATGCATTATGTCAGAATACTGTTATAACTGCATGTAGTTCTAGTGTAGTGTAGTTCTATATTTGTACTTTCTTGGTGGTGCACCCTTTCCTGAACTATATCTTGTACCTCTTTCTCATATTGAACCATTCATTTTCTCCTCTCTCTTGGCACAAACCACTCGACTTCTCCTTGGCCTAGGCTACTAAGCCTAGGCCCCCACTTAACTCTCAACTACCTCTTAAGCTCATTATCTCAACACATTAGGTGTTCATTATTTAATGCAACTTGAAAAACCCACCCTGAACCTAACCGGCATAGGTGATGCTGCATAATCGCGCAAGGCCCTCATCGTTCGCGCCAGCTACACGGCTCACATCGGATGTGCCTGGGCGGAGTGAGAATAGCAGTTCGGCAGCATTTATCAGCAGCAACGCGCCGCGCGAACGCCATATGGCGCAACTCTGGTGATCATGATATGCACAGCTCACCCATTCGTCATATTGTTCCCGTCCACGTGGCAGAAACCTTCGCGAACGGTCCGTCCAATGGGTACAATTTATCACATCCCTTACTCCCTTTCAGGTAGGTATCCATCAAAGTCCAACCCTGCACTCACCGTAGTGCTTAGTGCGACTTCGAAGGCGGATGAGTGCTTGTTGGTGGAACGATTTTCCCGTGCAACGCAACCTCAATGGCGATGCACGCCTCACAGCAGGCAAACTACTCGCAACAGAGTATGGGAGTCGAGGGAGCCCGTCGCTCCCGTCGTTGGAATGCGGGTCTCCACAGTCAATTTTGTCGCAATGAGTACGACTTCACTGGCGGAGTGTACCCTGTAGGGGAAGCGCCCATCAATCCAACGCGCATGCTGGCGACCGTACAGCCAGGCCAGGGCGCAGTACGAACCCTGACGTCTAGGCTTCAGCCTCAGCGCGTGATCTCGCACGTCTTATCAGACTCTAACCTGAACGCCGAGCATGGTAGGCACCTCTGCGTTCTTCGTCTTATCGTTTTTCCGCGCCGTAGGCAATACTTGGCTACTAGTAGTCATTCACGCTGACTACGTGCCTGGTTTGTGTGTGACTGCAGGTAATTTGCCTAGGACGCGCTCAACGTCGGATGTTCTCATGGGCGCCCCAGCAAGCACTCCGCCTCCCATGTACGCGGGCGGGAGAGGCCCGTCCCTGGCGCGCCCTGCTGTTGAGGAGAATCAGGGGGGCGGAGGAGTGACATACGAGCATGGATGGGCTGGTCCGCCCATCAGTCCACGGCTGGCTGCAGCTCACGAGCGCATACGCTTTCTGGAGCGTGAGAGTGCTCATCACGAGAACATGCGTAGGGAGGCCGAGGCGCGGGAGCGGATGACCACAGAAGCTCGTGACGGTGCGGCGGCTGCACCAATGGCGCCAGTGTTCAATGCAGACGGTGAAACTGGCGCAGACACGGGTATGCCTGTGCAGTTGGCACCGACTGTGCGTGAGGCAAGGCCGTTGTCCCTGTCCGCGGTTCGGGCGATAGCTCCGGAGACACGCAACAGGGCGTCTCCCAACATCCTATCATACCTAACCCCCAACCAGCTGTCGTGGGCGCACCGCCTCATCGACGCCCTGTGCCAGATCCCCGACATGAACGATGGATGGAAGGTGAGCTCAATTCTACGCCTTCAAGCCGTGCTAGATCGGGTCATTGCTAGTTAACTGAATCAATGCCATCTCTCACTACCCCTTCCGCGACGAACTCATGCATGTGATATCTCTAGGCAGGGTGACATGCAGCCTACTCCTCACATGGCCTCTGGGTCCAGGCCAAAGTGATTGCAATGATTTTTTATCCTTCTGTCACGTCTACTGCTGTTAGCCTCAAATATGATGGTTCTGTGAGATTTCTGGCCCATCCATGCGTGGGTCAGAGATGTGTTGAAGGGCCAAGCATGCATGCATGGGCGAGAGTTGTGTTAAAGGGCCCGCCCATGCATGCATGGGCCAGAGATGTGTTAAAGGGCCAGCCCATGCATGCATGGGCGAGAGTTGTGTTAAAGGGCCAGCCCATGCATGCATAGGCCAGAGTTGTGTTAAAGGGCCAGCCCATGCATGCATGGGCCAGAGATGTGTTCAAGGGCCAGCCCATGCATGCATGGGCCAGAGATGTGTTCAAGGGCCAGCCCATGCATGCATGGGCAAGAGATGTGTTAAAGGGCCAGCCCATGCATGCATGGGCCAGAGATGTGTTAAAGGGCCAGCCCATGCATGCATGGGCGAGATTTGTGTTAAAGGGCCAGCCCATGCATGCATGGGCCAGAGATGTGTTCAAGGGCCAGCCCATGCATGCATGGGCCAGAGATGTGTTAAAGGGCCAGCCCATGCATGCATGGGCCAGAGATGTGTAAAAGTGCCAGCCCATGCATGCATGGGCCAGAGATGTGTTAAAGGGCCAACCCATGCATGCATGGGCCAGAGATGTGTTAAAGGGCCAGCCCATGCATGCATGGGCCAGAGATGTGTGAAAGGGCCAGCCCATGCATGCATGGGCCAGAGATGTGTTAAAGGGCCAGCCCATGCATGCATGGGCCAGAGATGTGTTCAAGGGCCAGCCCATGCATGCATGGGCCAGAGATGTGTTAAAGGGCCAGCCCATGCATGCATGGGCGAGAGTTGTGTTAAAGGGCCAGCCCATGCATGCATGGGCCAGAGATGTGTAAAAGTGTGTGTTGGATCATGATCTTAGCTGCATTGTGATTCTTTGTGGTATCCCCTAAACCCTTAGTCCCGTCTTTCCTTTTGGGTACATCTACATGGTTGTGTTTTGCAGGGACTGGTTATAGACGTGATCGCACATGTGATTTTCCTCACGCCATCCCGACTGATGAGTATGTGGCCTTCCGAAGCGGTGCTGGAGCAAGCATTTATTCAATCACCCATGCTGACTTCCGACGTCGCGCGTGCCAACATTCACATAGCACTGCGGAACGACCCGGAGCGGCGTCGGTGGTTGAAAAGGAAGTTGGCTAAACTTCGGGCCGATACACTAGACCAGGCCTGAACATGGGTGTTTATCTTCTTTGGGCTCCCCTTCATAGTCCCCCTGTTTTCCCGTGCTCGGAAGCAGCCAATTGAGGGCAGTGGCACAACCTTTGAAAAGTTTCTGACTCGTTTCGGCGAAGGTGGGGTATTTGAAATTACCTACAACGCAGCAGTACTCTAGTGTAAACTTACCTGACTTTGGCTCCGTATTTGATATCCCTTTTGCAGATGACACAAGCCATGGTAATCTCACGTGGACTCGAGAACCCCACCGTGGCGGCCTTCCTTTTTCGCACCCTGCATTTGAGGATGCGTTGCACGAGTCTCTATTCAAAAACAAGCCGTATCCTGCCGTCGTTAAGCTGTACCATGTCGCATATTTCTTGCATGGGGTAAGCTGGCTTCTAGCATGCTCAGTGCGCGTCCCGTGGGTGAAGCCGTCCAGGGCAAGCCTGGGAGGAAGAGGGGCCAGGGCACACCCTGGTGTTTTCACAATCCCTTCTCACACCCCCGTGAAATCCTATTCCCCCTTCCACCCTCTCCTCTCTGTTTCATCACTCCAAGCCCTCCTATGTCAGCCTCCTTGCCCATATTTCCGCCCTGTGGGTGTTTCAGTCCAGAGCTTACCTGGGAGGAAGTGGGGCCAGGGCACACCCTGGAGTCTTCACAATCTCTTCTCACACCCCCATGCATGCATGGGCCAGAGTTGTGTTAGAGGGCCAGCCCATGCATGCATGGGCCAGAGATGTGTAAAAGGGCCAGCCAATGCATGCATGCGGCCAGAGATGTGTTAAAGGGCCAGCCCATGCATGCATGGGCCAGAGATGTTTTAAAGGGCCAGCCCACGCATGCATGGGCCAGAGATGTGTTAAAGGGCCAGCCCATGCATGCATGGGCAAGAGATGTGTTAAAGGGCCAGCCCATGCATGCATGGGCCAGAGATTTGTTAAAGGGTCAGCCCATGCATGCATGGGCCAGAGATGTGTTAAAGGGCCAGTCCATGCATGCATGGGCCAGAGATGTGTTAAAGGGCCAGCCCATGCATGCATGGGCCAGAGATTTGTTAAAGGGTCAGCCCATGCATGCATGGGCCAGAGATGTGTTAAAGGGCCAGTCCATGCATGCATGGGCCAGAGATGTGTTAAAGGGCCAGCCCATGCATGCATGGGCCAGAGATGTGTTAAAGGGCCAGCCCATGCATGCATGGGCCAGAGATTTGTTAAAGCGTCAGCCCATGCATGCATGGGCCAGAGATGTGTTAAAGGGCCAGTCCATGCATGCATGGGCCAGAGATGTGTTAAAGGGCCAGCCCATGCATGCATGGGCCAGAGATGTGTTAAAGGGCCAGCCCATGCATGCATGGGCCAGAGATGTGTTTAAGGGCCAGCCCATGCATGCATGGGGCAGAGTTGTGTTAGAGGGCCAGCCCATGCATGCATGGGCCAGAGATGTGTTAATGGGCCAGCCCATGCATGCATGGGCCAGAGATGTGTATCCACCCTGTGTATCCATTCCTGTCCTGCATGACCTATCATCCTGCAGGTCGAGCATCGTATTATCAACAACGGTGCCGATGTGTCGCACGGTCCTGGCATCAACGGGAGGAAGGTTCGCGAGTATCTGCGTAAAGTGACGGCATGGTGCAAGGCTGCCATAATGGCCCCCTCTGTCAACGGGAGCGGCCCCTGGTACAAGGCAGTGAAAGGGCGTGGGCCTTCTCTACGACCGGAAAGATTTACATCTCCATTGACGGGATTGAAGACACGGAGGGCATCAACCGCTTTGCGCAGCCTGCACCTGTCCCGGCCCCGCAGCCTGTGCTGGCCCCAGCCGTGCAGCCTGTGCTGGCCCCATCCGTGCAGCCTGTGCTGGCCCCAGCCGTGCAGCCTGTGCCTGTCCCGCCCTTCCAGGCTATGCCGGCCCCACTTGCGCAGCCTGTGCCTGTCCCGGCCGCACCATTTGTGCATGTCCCTTCCGCCCAGGTTGCGCCTGTCACGGGCGCGCAGGCTGAGCCTGCACCGGCCGCACGTCATGGGCCTGCACCGGCCGCACGTCCTGGGCCTGCACCGGCCGCACAGGCAGGGCCTGAACCGGTCACACAGGCTGGACCTGTCCAGGCCGCATGGGGGGACGGCTTTCTGTTTGGATGAACATGTGTATCCTGCCACCGGCGTTGGGTTTTCTTGGCTTCGGTTATTCGCAATGATGCAATCGCAGAAAGACGTTGTTAGACATCTTTTGGTGACATGCGCAGCAGTCCGTGACCTCTCTATGCTTCGCTGCCCAATTGACTCTCTCCTTATTTTGGATCTATTTTCTATCACATTTACTTTTCAAGGTTTTGGTGGTTTTGTTTGTGTGTCTGATGTTGACGATAAATGTAGTCGAACATACTTATCTTACAGGGTATTTGAGTCGACGCTCCACATTCCCAATGCTTCCAAACCAATCATTTGGATTGCACTAATTATGATAGACTTGCCAGTTTTATATGCCAACCAACATACAGGGCGCCAGGTCCTTGCTCACTAGTGCGGTATGTATATATCGCCACCAGGTACAGTGATGGCTTCGGTTTAACGGTGGGTGTTTTTCGCTGACCAATCGGACGGGTTCTCCTCACAGCCTTTGTGAGACGACTTCAATCCCCAGACACAGACGTATTTCAGTGACCACGCTCTTCAGCAAGTCCTCATTCGTAAACAGCCAGACAACTTCTCGGCGCGACTTCAGAAGCAGGTTACTGCTACCTCGCACTGCCCCCTCCCGTCACTAGTTCTGGGTCCTAGCGTGTATGTGCGCGTTGGGATATCTCGCATTGCGCTCCCCTCAACACCCGGGAGCGATCTGTAATTTCAGATGGGCGGCCCAGGTGCAGAGCTTCGACAGAAGTTGCGCTTTTGCGATGCGTTTCGAAGTAGCTGTAGTTCGGTGTTGCTGCTTTTTTGGAAACGCGCGATCAATAACGTACTTAGCTCTGAGTTCCGCTGATGCTGTGCGCAGCTTGAGGGTTTTACGCTATTCCTATTCTGTGAAGTTGCAGGTTGGTGCGTGCGAGGCCTGGACGCGACGAAGTTAGTCACGCTTATGGGGAGTGCGTCATACGCGAGGCATGTATTCTGTTTTTTATTTTATATATATTCAAGACTCGCCAGGTATGTGGTCGTTTATGTGCATGTACGGTAGCATGTTTCACTCCCCGTTTTATGTACATGCTCCCGAAGTACCATTCTGCAGTCAGTGTCAACTTCGTCCTCGACAGAGCACGCTGATAGTACGAGTCTTCGCGTATCGTATTCGCTCCGCTATGGCAACGTTTACACCTGTGTCAGAGGTCGAACCTTCAAGAGTAGATCTTCCGAGGATTGCGCCATGGGTGTTCCTCTCGATAGAAGAAACTGGGTGCTTAGAGTCAGGTAAACATCAGGCGTGACGCATGTCCGTTTTTTGTACTTTGCTTTTCGGAGCCGTTATGCTCTGTGTTGCTAGCCCACGCGGTGTGTTGTGTTTGCACCATAGCTTCCACCTTAGTTCTGCTGCTTTCACTTGCATTCTCCTACCTTTCTCCATTCTCGATTTCTGTTTGCTTCATGTTTTATTCTCATCTTTGTAACCTCACCACTTTCTTCCCCCTTCTCACCCTGCGTTCCCCTGCTTGCCCTTTCCCCCCCCTGCTCCCGCCTGCTTCACCCTTCTCTCCGTGATTCCCCCTGTTCCCCCCTTCTCCTACTGCTCCCCACTGCTTGCCTCTCAGGACGTCAATTCGGTGATTGCTGCTGCACAGACAAATTGCCGTGACTTTCCGAGGCAGTTCACCTTTGACATGTATTCCGGGTCAACGTTGATGTGCCAGTCATTGGGTCTTCGCGGGTAATGTGGTTGTGACCTCCCATTCCATAGTATGTGTCGTGTAACCTCTGTTTAACGCTGCGCACGTGTGCGGTTGTGTGCAGGTTGGGCTATCAAAAGGGTCATATTCACACGTCTTGTTGCTGCTGACTCTGTCTGTAAACGATACTTCCGTTAGGATGTCACCCATCTTGTGTACCGTTGGTGCATGTACGAACTGTGACTCAATCCCGTGCGAAATGTGCACGCCTGCCATTTTTGTCCGCAAAATGGTACACTTACCGTAAGTAGTTGTCCAAGGTCAAAGAACCCATGCTTGAATATATATGGATTAAATCATACATCTGTACAGTAATCACAGCCAGTTGGAAAAGCGACATATGCAGTTTATCATGGTTGACAGTGGACAGAGTGACAATAGTGATAGGTCCCCACTATGCATTTTCTGTTTATTTTGTAACCCAATGGGATCATTTAATGTTACAGATATCCAAACGTGTATTATCACAATCGTTACAATACCTGTAAAGGAGTAGTATCACAAATTGCCCCTTACTGACCATTTACTAATTTGAAATTAGTACCGTGCAGCGTTCTCGCCTTACCGGTTATCGGAGTACACGGTACCGCATTAGCGTGAACAATGGTGTTTTGAACACGTGAGTTGTTAGGGAAAGGCCATCGAAAGTGTTTCTGTGTGTTCGTCTCTGGATTTTGCTCGGGAAACTTGTAGCGCGTGTGGCGGGAACGCACAGGATTGGGCCCCAAATCCTCGGGGGGTACTCTGTGGGTAACATCAGGATCACCTCTCGGGGTCACCTCAGTGTGACAACGAACTGAAGTTCGATCGGGGGTAACATAGGGGTATCACTGCTGGCGACAATGGGGTATCACTGTTCGGGGTAACACTGATGTGACCTTGGGGTTGAAATTCGCGGGGGAATTTTTTGGGATGCTTTCCATCGACAGCCCCTCCCATCCCCTCCCATCCCCTCCCATAGTATGCAGCCCCCCTTCCTTCCGATGACGTCTTCGCATCACCTCCTCGTCGCCCTCGCGACTTCACCCCGCCACCCTCGTTTCCTTCTCTCACATTCCTGATCGTCGCCTCATCCCATGCACGTCAGCGTGGTTGCTTCACTGATCGCTCTTGCCGACCCCATCGCCAGCAACATCAGAAAAATGTAGAGAGCGTTTCGGGTGGTAAACGCCCTCCTATGCCTCGTTTGTCTTGTGCAGATGGTGATTTGCTTCGAGGGCAATAAACCACCAAGGCTATTGCCCATTGTGATTCGAAAACGGAGGGGGATCCGAACCAGCATAAACTTCCGTTTGTTCAGCTACAGTGTCGGAGTGTAAGCTGGGGTTGATTGGGTTTGTGCGGTCGTATACGATGGTTCACGACTGGCGAAGTTTAGGGCGTAAACGAGGTGAGGGGTTGACCGCGATTTACACCTCCCTCCATTTATGGCGAGATGGCATGTGCGAATCACCGTTTACGATCGTCAACCTTCGGAAGAGGAAAAGCAGAGAGGGCACCTGTTACCACCTGGTAACCAGATCTGGTTACCTGATAGTACTACACTTGGACAACTAGAATATTGTTAATTATTGTTCAGCTCATAGGGTTACTTGGCAACCAGTATCTTGGTTGGTCACGTGCCAATAAAAGCATTATATCCGATTGGACAGTAATTTCAAAACCATTGCTTTCATTAGTTGGTAAAAATGCCCCAATATGGTGAGTTGTGCAATTTCACTGGTAAAGCAGAATATAATGTATACAAGTGATTAACAATACAAACTTCAGACTCGAACTAGCATCGACGTAAGATCCTACCCAGAACAACACCTCACCTATTTGAATGCGGAAGTCGCCAACAAAATGTTATCACAACCACCACAACAAAAACACTAACAAACAAATCAGAAGTTAGAACGTCAAATGGGATACTTGAGGAGATGAAAAAAACGAGGAATTGACAGTGACGGGTTAGGGTATCTTAGAACGCACGAAAATACGGTTAAACAAATGAGCAATAATCAATCTGTTTCAAGACAGGACAAAGATAGCAGTTAGTCCATCTTCGAAAGCAACTTGCCAAACAGAAATATCAGACTAACGCGCTGCACAAACGATCTTATGAGACCATGAGATAAGATAGCGGAGAGTGGGGTGAACGAGAAAATTTAACAGACAGCAAACGAAAAAAAAAGGAAACCGAACAAATGAACTGCAGCAGCTTTAACCTTCAGACAGAACAGCGAAGGCAAAGCAGACCAGGATCGCTCACCTGGTGATACAGACCGCCTCAATGTCCGACCGTTGCAGCCATTGAAATTAACGGGCGAAAAGAAGACGCGAAATACAAGTTGGGGAAAAAAAAACTCCCTCGACAAAAGTCAGGTTTTGCTTGCGTGGCTAGCAAAATCGGTAGTGAAGAGGCAGGGAACCGGCTCGTGAGGAAAGGTACTGCTAGAGTATCGAGCGGAAACAGAATGAAACACACAAGAAACACGAAACACCGATGGAAAAATAGCAGTCGTACCTCGAGTCTAGGAAACTAGCTTCGGGGTGGGTGGAGTCACGGGAGCTGAGTGACGGGAGCAGACACACCAACTGAGCAAAAACAAGTGAAAAGGAACGACGGGGTAAGCTGGAGTCATAGGCGTCCAAGGGAGGAAGATGGGAGGGAGGGAACAAGGAAGAGCGAGTGCTGGGGGTGTGAACCTCCAGGAAAGTGGGAGAGGGGGGGAGGGTGAGGTCGAGTTCGCGCATCGCCAGGAATGGATTGGAGCCCAAGAAGCAACCAGCGTGGCATAGACAACCTCGCGTAGCAAGAGACATGGTGGCGGAGATGGCAAAAGTAAACTTGATTCGTTGATGTCAGAACATATATGTAGCTTATGCTGTTGTGTAGGCTACAGTGGGGTATATCATAGGGGGTACAACCCAATTAGGGTTTTGCTATTTGTACTCACTTCACTCATAGTTCATTCATTCTCGTTCTATTTTCCACATGGTATCGAGCAGGTTCCCCCGTGGGAACTGTGCTTAGGGCCCACCACTTATAAACTTTTTTTTCTGCCCGGAGCGCGCTCCGGGCCCTCGCTCTCACTCTTTCGGCCTGCCCTGCGGCCCCCTAGCCGCCCGCGCGCGCCCGTTCCGGCCCCTAGCCGCTCGCGCGCCGCCCGTTCAGGCCCTTAGCCGCCCGCGCGCCGCCCGTCGCGGCCCCTAGCCGCTCGCGCGCCGCCCGTTCAGGCCCCTAGCCGCCCGCGCGCCGCCCGTCCCGGCCCCTAGCCACCCGCGCGCGCCCGTCTCGGCCCCAAGCCGCCCTGTGCCGCCCGCCCCGGCCGCGCTCTCCTGTCTCGGCCCCTCGGCGCCAGGACGCCGCCCGTCCTGGCCCCTCACCCGTCCCGGCCTCACACAGCCCGTGCGCCGCCCGTCCCTGCTGCACGCCGCCGTCCCGCCCCCCCCCACGCCGCCCGTTAGCCGCCGTGCAGCCTGAGCCGCCCGAGCCGCCCGAGCCGCCTCCCCCCCCCCCCTTTTCCCGTCGCCTGTCGAGGCGACCTGAGGGGGCCGCTTGCGGTGTGTGGTCTCCCCTGCTTCTCCTCCTCCTTCGTCTCGAGCCGCCCTGCAGCCGAGCCGCCTCGCCGCCGAGCCGCTCTACACCCGAGCCTCCCAGCAGCCGAGCCGCCCTGCAGCCGAGCCGCTCTACACCCGAGCCTCCCAGCAGCCGAGCCGCCCTACAGCCGCGCCGCCGGGTCGCCGAGCTGCCGAGCTGCAGTTTCTGCCGAGCCGCTCTGCCGCCGAGCCGCCCGAGTTGCCCGAGCCGCAGAGCCGCCGTGCTGCCGAGCCGCTGAGTCGCCAAGCCTACTCTACCCACCACTGGTGAGCCCTTGCCCTGCTAGCACGCTGCGCGTCGCCTGCTTGCCTGCCTGCCTCCCTTTTTGGCTTGCCTGGCTGCCTGCCTTACTACTGCTACTCCTGCTCCTGCCTCTACTGGTGGAGCCAGATGCAGCCCCATCGACGTCTGCGTGAGTCCCTCACGCCCCAGCAGCTGCGTGAGTGGTACGCTGGTTGGGGCTGTAGGGGTGGTGGCGCTACTACTGCTACCACTCCTGCTGCTTCTACTACTGGTGGCGGCCAGATGCAGCTCTCGCGACCCCCCCACGCGTCTCTCACACCTCAGCAGCTTCGTGAGTGGTACGCTCAGAGTAGAGGGTCTCTCAGTTCTGTTCGCTGCTCTTACGTGATTCTCACTGGTGCTCGGACTGGTCAGCCTTGTGGGACACCTGGTCATACACAGTCCCGCTGCTTCGCCCGTCTGAGCGACGCCTGCCGTACCGTGTTTGGCGACGAGGCTGAGCTCCCCGACTGGGTGGATTTGCTTAGGCAGAGGGTAGATATATTTGCTCTTGACTATGATGCTATTCTCACTGCCATGTATGCATTGCCTACTAGTGCTGACCGTGCCGGTCACCTGTGCGTACCGCCTGACCCGGGAATAGGACCTGCTGCTCTAGCTACTGGTGAGGCTGCTGCTGCTCTGGGTGCTAGTGAGTCTCCTGCTCCAAGTACAGGTGCGGCTGCTGCTCTAGGTGCTAGTGAGTCTGCGTCCTCAGGTGCGGGTGAGGCTGCGCTCTCAGGTACCACGTTGGCTTCGGCCTCCCTCACCTTTACACTTGACTCTGGGGCTTCTCGCTCCTTCTTTCGGGACCGCACCACACTCACGCCGCTTGGTCGGCCTGTTGCAGTCTCCCTGGCTGACCCCTCTGGGGGTCCTGTCCTCGCTCACTTTTCCACTGTCCTCCCGTGTCCGGCTGCCCCCTCGGGCACCCTGTCTGGCCTGTACCTCCCCTCGTTCTCGACGAACTTGGTGAGTGGTGCAGACCTGCAGGATGCGGGGGTTCACCAGTTCACTCCTGCGAGTCAGCGGGTGACCCACTGCACGGACGCATGCACAGGCCGGCACCTGGCCACGTTCTCGCGTCGGCCCGGGTCGAGCCTCTACACCCTGACCA